TGTATTAATGGTCAGATTACTTCATTTCTGGCCTGAGGTTTCCATTAGACCACTTTAAAGAGGATCTGGAGTCCCTATATAAATTTTACAAGGTCCTTTTAAAATGTGCAGTAGTTCCATTTGCCAACTGGCATGTTTTCAAGGGAATTCTGGTTAGGACATATCATACAAAAAGAGGACGGAATAGAAAGAATTTTTATTGAACTCTCTACTATTCTCTTTGGGAGTGAAGATTAAATCAACTTCTGTAATAATTCAGTGAGACTCCAGTGAAAGTGTTCTTTATATTAGAGTCCATAATTAAGAGTCAACAATAGGGAGAATGTACATTTGTAGCAGTAACACCAATCAGCATAGCTAACTGCAGCAAACAGTATCAATACCGAATTTTGTGCTGGGATTTGTAGCAATGAGGGGCAGATATCCAAAGGTGGGCTTTACTATATTTATGTAATTACAGCCCGTGAACCTCCTTGAAGAAGGGACTTCAGGAATTTTCCAGTTAAAATGGGAAATGTGGACAAAATTGATGTTCATCTGGGCTGTAATCACCATCTTAAGACTCCTTACTCTCTCCTCCCTCACCAATTTCAATGCCCCAGGTTATCACCTTTACATTTTGACTATGGCAAGACAGGCCCAATTTTTATATATCTGGCTGTCCAATTGCTATTATATTCTCTGTCCCAAGCGCTACTTAAATTCTTCAGGTTGTGAGTAACCCAGAGCAGATTAGCCAATGTCAGAGAAAATTGGGAAGCGAGTCAGTAAAATCAATCTCTGCAGCAAGAGAAGAGGCATCTTGGATGGAATTCCCAGTGCTATGGAGGATCTGTCCCTTGCCCTGGGGTGGGGGGGGGAGGGAAGGGGAAAAGAGGGTCTATGGTTTAAGCCCCTAGTCCATCAGTAAGGAGGATAATGAGATGGACTCCCCTGAGAAGTCAGGTCTTTGGGGGATGAAGAGAAGGTGTAAATTCAGAAGATAAGTAAAGTGAGAAAGATCAGGAAGGAAAGGGATCTCTTACTGGGAGGTAAGCTGCAGAACGTGAAAGATTGAGCAGGCTGGGATGTGTAAGGGAGAGCATGCCTTACACTGGAGAAAGCATTGAGGGGAAGTTGGGATGGGAACTGAGATTTTGGGTGTAGCAGGAGTTTAAGCTCCATAATTAAATTTAAGTCAGCTGCACCCTGCTTGTGGGGCTCACCCCCTCCTTAATTCTGGGCTTCCATTTCCCCCATTAAACATCTACCTTTACCGATGTTATAGCTGCAAATAGGCATCTACACTCCCAGTTATGGGGAGCACCTTTGAGAGATTGAAACTGTGTAAATAACCTGCAAAGATACAACAGCACAAAGTCCCCATATGACACCAAGCTGCATGACTTTGGGCTTCTCTTTTCAAACACTTTCCTATGGTCTTTTCAAAGATCTCACTTAAAGATTTTTTTTAAGTGTTATACAAAGAAGCTGAATAGATTTAATAGTTTCAACATGTGTTTTTTGGAAGCTGTGCCTTTAATGCATGCAATGTTTTACTATAGAGAATAGCTGTGTGAAGTGACACAAGAAGACTGGAAAAAATGAATAAATATCCTATGATTTGCCTGATCTAGGCCCAATTTCCTTGGGTTTCAAATCATTAAGTTCCATTTCTGGCCGTTTAAATTGTCAATACAGTTCAAGTCCCATTGGATAAGACTATAACTTGGGCTTCTCCTGACAGCCCAACACTTGTCTAAACATATCTGTAGTCGATTATTTAGATAGCTGTCATTAAAAATATACTGCGACAGTAAGAAAAATACTAGATTTTATAAAGCACAAGCTAACTGATTGAAAACTTAGTTTAAGTGTAACTACTATGTTTCTAACAGAAGTATCGGGAGCATAAGCTTTCGTGGGTAAGAACCTCACTTCTTCAGATGCAAGACTTCAGATGTCTTGCATCTGAAGAAGTGAGGTTCTTACCCACGAAAGCTTATGCTCCCGATACTTCTGTTAGTCTCAAAGGTGCCACAGGACCCTCTATTGCTTTTTACAGATTCAGACTAACACGGCTACTCCTCTGATACTTGATACTATGTTTCTAGCTCAGATGTCTTTAGTATTAGTCCATAATCTACTGAAAGAATTATACTGAAAATAGCTGTAATAGGGTCACGAGTGGAGGGTGCAATTTTACCATATGCAGTAAGTATTGATATCGGATTCCATACAGCTTTGCTTATATGAAGTTCCAAATATGAATACATCTTATAATGGGGGTTCCTCCCAGAACAAAGATGCTTACATAGTACAGGTATCAGGCCTAATTTGAACTGGGATCGGAATATGAATACAATCTCAATGAGTAGGCAGATTTTGGCCTCAAAGCTGTGCAACAGAGCTGTTAAATTCAAAATATTTCATACAAATTGAATACAAAGTGAGATGTTCAGGAATTCCTGCCCTACTCCTAAGCAAAACCATATAAAGTAAAACCTGAGTATAGTAAAGGTTGGAAGCTTTGAAGGGCTATTCCCGCTCCCAAATCAGACAAAGCGAGGAGGGGGAAAAACATTTTGAAGGATGCAGGACATTGCATTATTCCCCTGAATCCTATGAAGACTTCTAGATTTCAGCTAAATTCAGTTCCATTCAGTTCAGACGTAAGGGAGACTGTAATATTTTTATATATATATATATATATAAAATCTATTACAGTAGTAGCCTAGAAGTTTTAAACAAATTGGGTCCCCAGTGTGCTAAACATATATACAGTAGAAGACAGTTCTTGCCCTGAAGAGCTTTCAATCTAAATCTGATAAGATTAAGAATCCATCAGCAAGTATCAAAGCTGGTTTTATTAGTGGAAATTTGCTTCAGGAGGTTAAGGGCCCAAAGTAATATTTCAGTCAAGCCAAAGAGTATATATAATTAAATACAGATGTTTGGTCTCAACCAATTTGTGATAGGATATTAGTGGTGACACCTTGGTCACTGAGTTTGCTGCAGCACTGGGAAGAGTGCAAGCTTAATTGAAGCCAATTTTACACTTTCTGTTGGGGGACTATGAGCACCTGGGTGGTAAACATTGGACTAAGGATGTAATTGGAAGGATATAAGTGGAAGGAAGAGGAAGCTAGGGGGAACTCAGAAGAAAGTTCAGCAGGTGAACCCGGGCTGAGGAGTGAGGGCTGCAGGGAAGCCTTCCCTTGCTCTAAGCCTGCATTACACTGTGTTACTTTGTAAGAAAAGGTTTCAGAGTAGCAGCCGTGTTAGTCTGTATCCACAAAAAGAACAAGAGTACTTGTGGCACTTTAGAGACTAACAAATTTATTAGAGCATAAGCTTTCGTGGGCTACAGCCCACTTCTTCGGATGCATATAGAGTGGAACATATAGCGAGGAGATTTCTGTATGTGTGTATACATAGAAAAGAAAGAAAAGAATAAATACATACCTTGGTGAAAGATAACAGCTTGGTATGTGTTTGTGACCGTGAGGCCACACAAATTGTCCAGGCAGTTATGTCACAGCGCATCTGTCACTACCCGGTGTACTCAAGTCCCTGCTGGATGTTTGTTTGTATCACATATTAAAAGGGACAGTTTGAATAGTGCCTGGAAAAATGGGCACTATAAGTCAGGACTGAGGTGAATTGGCAGAGCTGTGTGAATAAAGGCTCAATCCTGAGAGGTACTGTAATCTTAAAAGCAAATGAATTTTATGTAATTACAACCCGTGAACCTCCTTGAAGGAAACTGAAGACCCCCAGCACTTCACACAAGGCTCTCAGTAAGTTTGTACAGTGCCTTTCTGCATTGCATATGGTTCTAGACCAGGAGTCTCAAACACACGGCCCGTAGGGTTCTTTCGTGAGGCCCACCAAGCTCCCCGTGCCCCCCGCCCGCCCCTCTGCCTACCCTGTGGTGCCGTGAGCCCCGCACCACTCCCTGAAGTGGCTGGAACTATGGCCCTGCAGCCCCGGACAGGGCAGGGGTGGGGGAGTAGTGGGCGCCGTGCTCTTGCTTCCAGGCACCGCCAGCTGCAGCTCCCATTGGCCGGGAACCGCAGCCAATGGGAGCTTTGGGGGAGGTACCTGGAGGAGCAGCAAGAGCAGCACATGGCACCATCTGCCCCCCCCCAGGACTCCAGCTGCTTCCTGGAGCGGAGCAGGGCCAGGGCAGGCAGCCTGCCTGCCCTGGCCACCTTGCGTGGTGCTGCCACCCCAGAGCCCACACCCCTCCTGCACCCCAACCCCCTGTCTGGAGCCCCCTGCCACACCCTGCACCCCAACCCCCTGCTGCATCCCTCACCCCAACTCCCTGCACACCCTGCCCTGAGCCCCCTGCCACACCCTGCACCCTGACCCTCTGCCACACCCCTCACCCCTCCTGCACCCCAACTCCCTGCCCTGAGCCCCCTGCACTCCCTGCTGCACCCCTTACCCCTCCTGCACCACACACCCCAATTCCCTGTCCTGAGCCCCCTGCCGTACCCTGCACACCTCCTGCACCCTGCCCTGAACCCCCTGCCGCACCCTGCACATCTCCTGCACCTCAACTCCCTGCCGCACCCTGCACCTCTCCTGCACCCCCTGGGGGCAGGGAGGGGGCAGAGTTGGGGTGAGGACTTCGGGGAAGGGGTTGGAATGGGGGCAGGGAAGAGGCGGGGCAGGGGTGGGGCCTCATGGAAGGGGTGGAGGGGGGGCGGGGCCAGGGGCAGCAAGGGGTGGGTGTCAATGCACTAGTCCTCATGCAGCCCTCGTGGTCATTTGAGTTTGAGACCCCTGTTCTAGACAATGGTATTAATCCTTAGTTTTCAGGAACACTCCCTCAAAATTGTTTTTTTATGTTTAAGAGGGAAAAATAAATTTATTCTCTTTTAGGAAAAGTTTGTTTTATTTTTATAGCTCCTGTACATTTAAAATCTGTTCTGAAATGGATCACTTAGTGGTTAGATGTGTCAGCTTATATTCAGATGACTCATTGAATGTATTTGACTAAACAGTCTTACCAGTAGAGAAGATGAGAACTGTGTTGTCCCAAAGCCCGTATCTCTTCAGGGCTGCAGTGACATTTCCTACAGCTTCATCCATAATGGACACCATTCCCGCATAATGACGTCTCTTCTCATCTTTGATGAAGGCGTACGGTTTCATGTATTCCCCAGGGACCTGAAGGGGCTCATGGACAGACTGGAGAGCAAGGTAGAGAAACAGAGGCTGGGGAGGAAAAAAGAGTATCCAAGCAGTAAATGCAACAAATCAATCAATCACATGAACCAATTAATACAGCAATTGTCTTGTTTTCCTCCTAATTTCTCTAAGCATAAGATATACATAATTCTGGGAAAGATTTTTATGAAAGGCACTGAAATATTAGTGTATATTTTCATTTTAATGGTAGAAAAGCCAGTTGATTTTATGATCTTCCTGCCACTCAACTTAGCTTCCTATCCTTTTTTCAAAAGCAAGATCAAACTACATACAATACTGTTTCTATTACTACAGCAAAGTCTTACAAATCTGTAAGTCATCAAATTGCAAGTTGTAAACAGGATTTGGGTAGAAAGTCTGAATCCCAGATTCGTTATACAAAATACAATCATATTTCATGTGCAAAATATCCTGGTTAGTGATGGTGTCATTTGTCATGAAAATCTCCATTGCATTTTCTTTTTACATCCCTATTACAGAGCTTATGAGGAGCCCAACTCACCATGGGCAGTGGGGCTTTTATGTTTCTTATTTTTAAACTAATGACAGACTATTTCATTCCACTAAGTGTCTTCCTGCAATTGGTTCTGTTAGTTATTGGCAAGCTAAATTGTATTCTAAGTCTTACCTCAGGGTAAATTCTTTGTACAAGTTCTGCAAACTAATAACTCAGAAATAGTACATGATCATACAATAAAAGACTATCACAATGCATATACACAAGGGAGCCTAAGTAAGGTGTGTCAGGCAACCTTAATTCTGGCATACCCTAACTTAATTGCATGCTTTGCAATCTTACTGTTCTTTTAATAAAGTTTTTTGTAATTTCCTAGGCTTTAAAAATAAAGGAATACAAATTCCATAATGTGGAATCACATTGACACCCACATGGGTCATTAGCAGGGTTAAAACATTTAAATCCACCATACTGACCTCTACACCTTGAGCTAATGGAGTAATTGATACCAATAATAGGTTGTTATCCTCCTAAGTGGACCAGCACTAGAGGGGAATAAGACACATGCTTTGCCAGTGGGTTTCACAGATATTTGCTGACAGCAGAGAAATGGCAAAACTCAGGAACCTTGGGTTCCATTACTGGCACTAACACTTTCCTGCCCATTCCCCCTTATTCTGCCCTATCCTCTCCAAACTGGGCCAGTCCTTTGCCTTTCTCACCCCTGGCTCCTCGTCTCAGTCCCAATCTCCTTACCTAGTCAGTTCCAGTCACCACCCCTCAGACTTCTCATCCCACCATGTTCTAATCACCCCCTCCCTGCTCCCATTACCATGCCCAACTGTCAGAGGGTGTGGCTGCCTCACAGCACCCCCTGCTGGGGAAGGGTGGCACTGCTACAACTCTCTGCCTCACTTTCCTTCCCTGAGATGGGTCTCCTAGGTTCTCTGCCTGTACTGGATACATAGCTTAGTCTTCCAGCCAAATCAAAAACAAATTAAAAAAAAAAAAAAAAAAAGGTTACTTCTGCCCTTTGGGATGTCTCTTCAGCTCATGCTCTGGGCCCTGTTCCCAGCTCTTTTCTGGGCAATCTTTGAGGGTTTTTTTTTCCTGCTCTGGTATGGAATACTCTGCCCTTAGGCTAGTTCCCCTGGAATACCATTCTCAGATCCTGACTCAGAGCCTTCCATAGGAGCCTGCTTGCTCCCAGTGGTTTCTCTACTCCAGGATAGAACCCTGGGTCCCCAAGCTGGCTCCCCTGGTGTACCAAGCCTCCCACAAAACTTGGCTCAGAACCTTCCCACTCACTGTGATTCTAACCCCCCAGAATGATCTCTCTCAGTGTAATGGATACCTGGACCTTATAGAATAACTATCACCCTCTCAGGCTGGGAAGCAGATAATTAATAATGGCACAGCTGCTGCAGCCCCATCTCCCTTTAAAGGGTCCATTCACTCTGTGACTCCAATCAGTCCCAATCACCCCTTCCAGGATTCTCTTCCAATCTGTTTCTCTCCCCACACCTACGCACATTTCCTATACCACCTGACTCCCAGAGCTCCTCATCCAAGCTCAGTGTTTCTCCCCCCCCCCCATCCTTGTCTCAGTCTCTTTGCCCAAACAGTCCCAGTTTGCTCTCTGGCTCCTTGTCATATCTACCTCCCCGCCTCCAGTTACACCCCACTGGTTCCCAGTCTCATTTCCAGCCAGTTCCAGTCTCCTCATCCCATCTCAGTCCCCCCACCCCACTACACACACTCAGGCTCCTAGACTCCTCTTCCTCCCCATCTCCCTCCCCAGCTCTAGTCTGCCAGACAATCCCAGTCGATTCACCTTGCCAGCCTCCAGTTCCAATCAACTCTCCCCTCCCCAGCTCTTATCCCCTCCTTTGCATCTGAATGAGGCAGTTTCCTCCTCCATGTTGCCTGGGTCCTAACAGGCAGGAACAAGGTGGGGCGGGGTATCATTGAGAACACAGGAAAGACAGGCTCCCTGTTCTTAGTTCTGGTGCCTCCGCTGCCATTGCAGGGAACGTCCTACTGCAGTCAGACTCTTCTGTTCAATGTAGCTGCGAAGCTCCAGCAAGTCTCTACTGAGCATGTGTAAACTGAAATTTTTCAAGGGTTTATAAATTGGCCAAAATTTGGGTGGATGTTCATAAAGATGACAAAAGGCACTTCTCTGACAAAGTCCACCCCTTCTGCCAAATTTCAAGTATTGGGCCATGAGAACTCCTCAAAGAAAAATCACCAGATAGTGTTTTTTTAGTACTAACAAAACATTTTCCCCCTAGACTCATTCTTGAAAACAGCTGAACTGCTTTGGCTGAAGTTCTGCCAAAAGATTCAGTCTTAAACACATTTCAGTTTTGAAAATTGTCATGCCTTCACTTAGCAGTTTCCCTTTTTGTATGTGCATTTGTAAATTAACAATGTAATATGTCAGATTGCAGTAAAACAAAATAATGCATTTGTTACAAATATGTCAATTAGCCCCACATACTAGCATTCTTTGTGTTCTTGTCCAAAACAAGGTAGTCCATTTGTACTATCTTGTTGTGAGTTTTAACAACAACAAAAAAGTTAGTTTGGGGGTGGAGGATTAACTGAACTGCAGTGTTTAATTCAAAAGTTTATGTCATAGTTTAAGGTCTTTATATTAGAGGAGTGAAAGAGATTCTGGATTTTTTCTGGGACCTTTAAATTAAGAACTTCAACTTTGCTTCTTTTTATAATATAAGTTAAGATATTTTACATTTAGCACACTGCATCTTAATAAGGAAGATGGATTTTAATGAGGGAAACATTCCTGGCTTGTGAGTTTGAACATTATTTATACAATGTCCCTTATATGAAGTAAAGCTATGTTGTTAATTATTTTTCTGCACAATGATTAAGATCTTCTTCATTCACATCCAGCTCCATCCTACACTGTGTATCTCCTGTAGAAGTCTTTTCAACTATTATGTGCACCACGTTATACAATACAGTAGAACCTCAAAGTTACAAATACCTCAGAAATGGAAGTTGTTCGTAACTCTGAAACGTTCATAACTCTGAACAAAACATTATGGTTGTTCTTTCAAAAGTTTACAACTGAACATTGACTTAATACAGCTTTGAAACTTTACTACGCAGAAGAAAAATGCTGCTTTTAACCATCTTAATTTAAATGAAACAAGTTCAGAAACAGTTTCCTTACCTTGTCAAATTTTTTTTTTTTAAACTTTCCCTGTATTTTTTTAGTAGTTTACATTTAACACAGTACCAGTACTGTATTTGCCTTTTCTTTTTGTCTCTGCTGCTGCCTGATTGCATACTTCCAGTTCCAAATGAGGTATGAGGTTAACTGATCAGTTCATAACTCTGGTGTTCAGAACGCTGAGGTTCTACTCTATAAGGGCTTTGAACATTCAAGTGTCAATGCAATACTGTCCATTTCTATTTGCTGAACTTTTTAGTTAAGTGCAGCTCTGTATCTAGATATTTATCAGCTATTGTTTACAAAGCAAGCTCAAGTCTTATAAACAAATAGTGCATGAAAATATTAAAACACTTGTAAAGTAAGTTCTCAAAAAAGCAACAGCTGTCTACTGTACCTTCTCAGTTTTATGGTTGGCTATAAGATCTACAGCTCTTTTCGTAAATACATTAGTGGAATACATGTTTCCAAATCCAACTGCAACTTCTTCTCCATCTCGAAAATCAAGAGCACAGCGTGTTGCATTCTTTGCACTGATAAACACACAACGTTCATGGGAATAATAATCTTCACTTCCCAGAAGATAACCTAGAACAGGAAAAAGGTGACAAAGTGAGCAAGCCAACATATAATTTACTATATATAAACTAATACATCAGGAGACTTTCAAAGGGCACAAAGTGAGTTGAGTGGCAAACTGTCCTTTGTGACTTAGAAAAATTATTCCTTCAGAGTTTCACTTTTTTTCAAAAACAAGGCTAATCAGTCCAACATTCCTTAATATTTCTCATCTTGTATTTATTTGAAAATAAAGCACAAAATCCAATTCTAAGTATCAATTATACAAACCCAGAAAAATTTTAAGAGCAGTTCAATAACTTTACATATAAATTGGCATGCATATAAATCAAAGATACTAGCATTAAAATGATGCACATGTCCTGAGCCTGTTGCTAACTAGAATAACTTTTAGTTATGGTTTTGTAAACTGTATTTGTTAGTACAGAAAGCTTATATCTAAATAGATACTACGAACACTGGAATTATCATACTGTTTACATTTATAGATAGATTACAGGAATGCCTTCCATGTGAACTGTGTGGTGATTTCTGATCTGCTGCTGACACCAACTGGTGAAATAAATAAATCATTCTTTACAGAATAAGTTACTGATCTTAAGAATCAAAAATAAGGATCTCCTACAAATTTTGCTTCCATCAAGGGTCCAATCTTCTAAGGTACTGCGCAGATTTAACTCCCATTGACTGAAAGCAATGAAATTGCCTCAAAAACCCATTGCAACCTCATCCCTAAATCAACCCTAACTTTATCACCCAAAAATTCTCCAGAATAACAGGGGAATGTTGCAAAGCATACCCTGAAGGCAACTAAATTTAGGCTCAGTATGGGGGCAGATTCAGTTTCAAAATCCAGGACTTTGACCAAAAACTTTTCTTCTGCTAACCCACTCCATCTAAAAACCTAATGAACCCCCACCACAAACCAAACAACTAAAGGTCTAGCCAAACAACTTCCAACTATACCATATTGTTTATGTGCAAAACTCCACAGATGCAGAGGACGTCAAAGAAAGACATGGAAGGGCTTTCTAAAGGAAACATCAAAAATATGCTCTTGAAAATAAGAAATAAATTGTGGGGGGGGGTTGTTTGTTTTAAGAGCATCTAGTGATTTTGGACCACTAGCTGACAGTTTCTCTCAATGCTCAGCCTGAGACAGATGGGGCCAGATTTGCAGAAGCATTGAACCTTCACAGCTCAATTGGAATAATGGTTTTAACATATAAAGAGCTAAGAGCTCTGAAAAATAAATTACCTCCCTCTCATGAGCACCCAAAATTATTAGACACTTAACAATTTTGGTGTTAATCTCTGTGCCTCAGGTCCCTAGCTGTAAAATGAGGCAGTATTATCCCCACCTCACAGGTAACGTGACATGAGGTGTTGTGAAGATAAATTCATTAATGTTCATGAAGCATGGATGGCATACATTAAGGCCTGGAGTCACATATGAAATGTGGAAGATAAAAAGGAAACATTTAATAACTAACCAGTCACTTAATGAGGAAGGGGTCCTGTGAAAAAACAGTATATGCTCATGCAATTAAAGACTGTATTGTAATGCATACTCATAACTGGGCCAAATTAAAGTTACACAGGTATCCTAATTTTGGCAGTGCCTAAGTTTTGAGTGCTTAACTTTGCAACTTTAAAGTTCCTTTAACAGTTTTTTATAAATGTAATTTTATCTAGGTTCTTGTAACACCTTGATCATGGTAGTATCTGAGTGCCTAATGAATTCAAGAAATATATATTGTATTTAGAAAATATATAAAAAATGACCAAGTCTGGTAAAATGCCTATTGCTTTTTCTAGTTAAGACACTGCTATTAAAAAAATCAATATACAAACTACAGTAATGTTAGAAGTCTGACCTAAACCTAGACACATGAAAAATTCAGTTTAAAGCTTCCTCTAAGAGCACACTAATGCAACATGTGGAGTAACTGAGTACGATGGGACAAGTTAAATGTGGAGCTTAAAATATAAATATATTTGCTTCTGTGGGTTTAAAAATCAGACCATTTTCAGCAATAGGCTTTTGGATATCAACATTTATTTATCAAGTGTAGTCTGCCAAATTAGAGAACTGTCTTTTGGTATCATGTGCTGAAACAACAGCTAAAACATTGTTTTACTGGCTATATATTAATTCTGAGTTTGTTGTTGTTAAAAAATATTTCCCCTTTCAATATGGTTAGTAAAAGTACTTAAAAAAAAAAAAGAGTAGTAAATCTGGCCATTACCAAAATAAGTATCAAATCCTCTGCGGGTTGGAAGGCACTCTTTTTTGTACATGCCTAGATGCCACTTCCCTACCATGTGGGTAACATATCCTGCTTCCTTCAGCAGTTCAGGCAGGAGTTTCTCATTCAACGGGACACAGCTGGGCTGGCAAGGCCAAATTATTTGGTGTTGTAAACCTGTATGGATCTTGGAAAAATAAACCCAATGCAGCTATTAGTTATAGCATGATGGCAATGTATGCACTGAAAGCACTGTATCAATATTTTAAAATATACACATAAAATGAGCCTGGAGTCTCGCAATTCCACCTTACATAAAGCATTTGCTAGAAGACTCTGGAAGTACTTTACAGATTGCATGCACAGGTATCACATAAAACCCCCACTGCTTTCTTCCGAAGAGACTATAAAATTTTTGTACTACTTGTTGGCTTACAATTGTACCATGACTAGCCATCATTAGTAAAGAAAGCATATGTTTATTTAGCCAACCAAAAACTCAGTATGGTCACTGTGATGGGATCCCCGGGATGCAGCCTGGGACTATGGGAGCGCTGTGACCCCTGAACTCTCTCCAGCCTGGGCTGTCTCTCACAATGCCTTGCTAGTGACCAGAAGCAAACCCCTTCAGGTGCTGTGATCACTCAGCACAACAGCATGTGGAGACCCAACACCCAGCTATATTGCATGAATGCTCCCAGAGCCACTCATGAATCACACAGAGAAAGGCACCAGAGCCAAATCCCCCCAGCTCCCAGCACTCTACCTAGTGATGAGTTGCCAAAATCTTAGGAACCGGTTCCCTACCAGGGCTTCGGCGGCACGGCTCCGGCGGCTGAAGGAGCTGCCACCAAAGACCCGGTAGAGAACCGCCCAGTGAGTACACCCCCCACCCATGTCCTGCCCCCGACTGCCCCCCTCAGAAACCGCAACCCATAACACCCCCCCCTTGTCCCCTGACCACTCCTTCCCAAGACTCCCAACCCTAACTGCCCCCCAGGACCCCATCCCCTACCCAACTAGCCCTGCTCCCTGTCCCCTGACTGCCCCATTCACCACCACCCCAACAGACCCCCAGAACTCCCACGTGATGCCTACCCAACCCCCCCTTCCCCATCCCCTGACCACCCCCCAAGAACCTCTGCCCCATCCAACCCTCCCCACCCCCAGCTCCCTGTGCCCGCCTTATCCAACCCCCCTGGCCCCGGTCTCTTACCCCTGCCGGGGCCGGAGCCGCACCACACGGCCGAAGTCGGGGCTAGGGCCCGGAGTCAGGGCCCAGCCTGGGCTGGAGTCGCGCCGCACAGCCAGAGTCGGGGCCCGACCCAGAGCCGTGCCCGGGGTCGAGGTCAGGCAGCGCCGCGCAGCCGGAGTTGGGCCCAGGGCCCAGGGTCGGGGCTGGGCCGGAGCCGGGCAGTGCCGTGCGGCCGGAGCCGGGCCAGGCGGCGCCTGGAGCCCTCCCTGCTCCCGCTCACCTGCAGGAAGCCCTGCTTCCCGTGAATCGGCTGATTCGCGGGAAGCAGGAGACGGGGAGGAGAAGCCGGGGGGAGTGTCAGGGGAGGAGGCGGAGCTAGGTGAGCTGGAGCTGCTAGAGATTTTGTTAAATTTAAAAGCCCTTTTAGAACCGGGACAACCGGTGCTAAAAGGGCTTCTAAATTTAACAACCAGTTCCCGTGAACCGGTGGGAACCGGCTCCAGCTCACCACTGACTGTACCTCAGGAATATACCATCTTGCACTGCTCAAGATGGGCAGTGCAGATTTATTAATTGATTCACCACTTCATCAATGGAAAATGGATATACACCAGCCTTTGCAAAACCTGAGCAGATTCGCCCCACTCTTCATACAAACTCACTCGTAAAGCTAAACAGTTAAACAAATGTATTGACTATAAAAGGTAGATTTTAAGTGATATTAATTGATAGGCAAAAAGTCAGAGTTAGTTGCCAAAAAATATATATATATAAGCACGCAGTCTAAACTCTCAACCCTATTAGACTGGGCAACAACTAGACTAAGCAGTTTTTCTCACTGGATATTGCAGTCCTTAATATACAGATTTCACCCTTGAAATCTGGGCCAGTCCCCTCAGCTGGAGTCTTCAGAGTGTCCTTGTTGCTTGAAGCATAGGTGGGTGAAGGAGAAAGGCCCAGCATGTGGCCTCAGTCCATGTGCTTGGAAAACAAAAGTCCAGGCATCTCTGGGTGGGCATTGCTGAGGGCTTGTCTACACTGGCACTTTACAGTGCTACAACTTTCTCGCTCAGGGGTGTGAAAAAACACACCCCTGAGCGCTGCAAGTTTCAGTGCTATAAAGTGCCAATTTAGCCGCACTTCCAGCGCTGGTAGCTATTCCCCTCATGGAGGTGGGTTTTTTAGAGCACTGGGAGAGCTCTCTCCCAATGCTATGCCATGACTACACAAGCCACATTAAACGTGCATTGCCAGTGAAGATGTGCCCTGAGTCTCCAGGCAAGGTTGAGCAATTCCCCTGGTGTGGCCTCATGCAGCCGAGTCATTGAATTGTAACTCCCTTGCTGGACAATGGCTGTTGATGAATTGTTTCACACCCCACCTGAGTGTCAGTTACTTTCCTTGCTGTTGCCTCTGGGGAGCTAATATCTGTCTGAATCCCCAACTTACAGTATGTTTTAGTGACAACCATACAACATAATTCTCATAACTTCATATGTGTTAATGATTTACATATATGGATAGAGAAATGACTTTCAGCAGATCATAACCTTTCCCCTGATACCTTACAAGGCATGCTTTATATGCAAGATCACAATCATATATAAATGATGAATATGGGGATTACAGGGTGCTCCCCCAAGGTACAGAATGTCAAGTGATATTTTAGAATAGCCAGACTATTCCACAGCATACAGGGTAAAATCCCAGCCATACTGGAAGTCAATTATGAAACTTCCATTGGCTTCAATAGGGGAAGGATTTCAGCTATAATCAATTTAAGTAATATATTTACTAGTCTACACTCAGTCTAAGTCTATAATCAACTCAAAAGATTAAAATTCTAAGAATGTTTAAAATCAATAATTTTCTTACTAATTGATCTACCATTGGAGAACTTTAGAAGTCAGATCTTTGAGCCTGATTTGTAATCTAAAGAGAGAAAACTTAACCGTGTGTACAAACTTGATACTTGGCTGAAAAAAAACTGGAAATTGTGCTCCAATTTTGCTAAAACTGTCTTTAAAAAAATTGAACCTTATTTTACATTCTTGAGGTTCACAGCTAAAGTGTAATACATCACTATCATTTTTTCACAGATTCTCAACTTTATTTTTTAAATCAATTACATTCTGTAGTAGAGTTCTATAGTTCTTCCTTCTCTCAACTTCCTCATTACAATATTGAAACATTTCTCGGAACTGAAGAAGAGCTCTGTGTAAGCTTGAAAGCTTATCTCTCACCAACTGAAATTGGTCAAATAAAAGATATTACCTCACCCACCTTGGCTCTGTAATATCATGGGACCAAAATGGTTACACCACCGCATACATTTGGAGATAGTGATTCCATGGTGAGACATTTCTTCCCCATGCTGGTTCAATTGTTAACCTCTCCATTTGGACTACTATAGAGGCTCTAATTTTAGTGGTGTCCTTCATGACATGCTCACCTATTCATGAGGAACTGGACTGAATACACCACCAAGAATTTTCATGTAAGAAACTGAAGATCCAAATAAGTGACTTTTGGTCACTAGGATGTTTGTGCCTGAAGACATTATACTTTTGTCCAAACTCCAGATAAATAAATACAGGTGTCAGCTCTTCCTTACTCCAATACATGCATGAAAATGATAAGGCCCACACCTGCCTGCTGTGGCCCCATGCCGCTCCCGGAAGTGGCCAGCTGCTGCTGGCACACCTCTGCATGCCCCTGGTGGGGAGGGGGGAAGGTGGCTCCATGCGCTTCCTCCGCCCCCAGCACCGTCCTCACAGCTCCCATTGGCCGCAAACCGGCCAATGGGAGCTGCGGGGGCAGGCAGCGCAGGGAGACCTGCTGCTCCCCTCCCCACAATGGGCACGCCGCAGAGACACGCTCCCAGTCGGCAGTGCAGCAGCCGACTGCAGCCGGCCTGAGCCATCGTAAGTGCCTCACCTGTGGTAAGTGCCTCCCGTCCAGAGCCTGCACCTGGCATCCCCTCTCACACCCCAATCCACTGCCCCAGGTCAGAACCCCTCCTGCACCCAAACACCCTCCCAGACCTGCACCCCTCACCCTCTCCTGCACCCCAACACTCTGCACCAGCCCGGATCTCCCTCCTGTACCCTAACTTCCTCCCAGACCCTGCAACCCCTCCTGCACCCCAATCCCCTGTCCCAGCCCGGAGCCTCCTCCTGTACCAAACTCCCTCCCAGAGCCCACACCTCTCACCCTCTCCTGCACCCCATCACTCTGCACCAGCCCGAAGCTCCCTCCTACACACAAACTCCCTCCCAGACCCTGCACTCTTTCTATTAATATAGTAGAAATGTGCAGCCCATGACGACTTACCAAAATTTGTGGAGCGGCCCTCCTGCGAAAATTATTGCCCATCCTGGTCTACTATAATACAGTCCTGCCACCATGCAGAAGGAGACATTACAAGAACCCACTAGAGGGCTCTCCCACCCAAATGAGTCTATATGATCTGTCACTATACGCTGTCATCTTTACTAAAAGATAACAGACCCTCACAAGAATTTGGGCTTTCTTCCTCTGTACATGGCTCTAAAAAAATAATTTCCATTAGTTCTGTTGGGTTTAGCTAATGTATTCAGAGAACTTGGGATACATTTTTCAGGAGCCTAAATCCCATTGTCTAAAAGTGATCTGGGCAATTCAAAACCCCCATGAGGTGCCTCCCTGCATCTTCAGCTGCCTAAATACCTTAACAAGGTAGCCCTACAATCAATGGGGCTTAGGAGCTTTTCAAAGTGTCACCCTTGTTTGGGGCGGGAGAAGGCACCTTACGCTGCCAGCCGGGGGCATCAGCAGCACCAGGCCCTCGGTAACAACTTTGTACAGACTTGCAGCCTCCCTGCTGAGATTGGGGAGGTCTTAGAGGGGCCGGGAGAGGCTCACACGCCCCGTCCTTGCTTGCGTCCCAATGCGGGGCCCTCCTGCCAAGGTAGCTGAAGGACAAGCCAGTGCCACACGCCGCCAACTCAGCGGAGTCCCTGCCCACCCCCGGAGCTCCCGCTAGGCTTGGGGGCTGCCCAGGCGGCGCTGGGACCGGGTTGCTGCCCTACCTGGTACCTGCCGGTGAGCAACTGGCTGCGGGACGGGGTGCACAGGGGCTGCGTGTAGTAGCGCTCCAGCCGCACCCCGCCCGCCCCCAGCGCATCCAGCTGCGGGGTGCGGATGAGGGAGTCGTGCCAGCCCACGTCGTGCCAGCCCAGGTCATCGGCCAGCACCACCACCAGGTGTGGGGCCGCCGCGCTGCCGGCCAGGCAGAGTCGCAGCCAGCACAGGAGCAGCGGGAGCCGCGCTGAGCCCAGTCCGACCCCCGGTCGCTTCAGCATGCTGCCCGCCTGTCCCGCCGCTCAACCAGGAACTGGCCTGCGCGGGCACCGCCCCCAGCACAGGACCAGCGGCTTCAGCACCCCGCCCCCGGCACAAGGCGACGGGCCTCCAAGGGTTGGGGCCCGCCCCCACACAGAGCAGGGGAAGGAAGGGGCCCAGCGTCCCCGCCTTCTACCGAGCAAGGCTCCAGCCTAATGCTTTGCCCATGCCACAGGGCAGGAGCCTCAGGGTGGCCAGGCCCACCTCACGTCCCACATGGCAAAGCAAGCAGACATCAAATTCAGAGAAGTTCCTTCTCTGACAGACTCTGCCAGTGCTGCCAACCTCTCCAGCGCGACCCAACCTGCATAGACCCCCAAAGAAGCTTTTATGGGGACACAGGAGAATTATGAAGGGACACTGACAATGCCATCCCTAGAACTCCAGACAGATACATCCCTGCACAGACATGGACTTCAAGCTACTAAAAAAAAAAATCCTACAAACCCCTAAACAGTATCACAAAGCAATCGCTCCACTCACAACCAGATCCAGAACTGTTGCTCAGAAAGAGGGAGAAAACAAGAAAAGTTCTTTAACTAGGACTGTCAAAAAAACACAGCAAAGTAAATGACTCACCCAGTCAAAAATACACAGAAAATCTATGCAATGTTCAGCATGAAACACTGAGAAATTTCAAATCAGTTATATGAATGATCTGAATAAGAAACTGACACAAACCAAAAAACTCAATAGAAACAAATACCAGACAAACCTAGAAACAAAATTATATCAGGTAATAAATTATATACAAAAAAATTTCAAACCCAATAAATATAAACAAAATCTAGGAATCCAGAATAGTAAAATCTGGATAGAAACTTCGAAAAAACAAAAACAAACAAACAAAACCCCAGAAGAAATCCAACTTGAAAAGCTAAAAGCAAACTGACATTCTCATAAAACCACTTGGAATACAGTGTACCAAACTCTATTAGGCAAACCAATGTAAACATAAAAACTGAAGGAAATCCCATAAATTCAAGCTGAAGAAATCATGTGGCCAGATAATATAATTATTTAAACTCTAAAACACACCAGTAAACAAATCCAAGATACTTGCCAATGAAAAATAGTGGCCTGCCTTGCAGATTTTTCAAAACATTTTGACAAAACTTGGTGCTTAGGTCTGAACTTTAAACTGCTACAAAGGCCCAGAGCACCGGCTCTGCAGCTCCCATTGGCCGGGAACCGAGGCCAATGGGAGCTGCGGGGGTGGAGCCTGCAAGTGTCTGGACGCGCCTCCGCCTAGGGGCCGCAGTGACATGCCGGCCGCTTCTGGGAGCCACCTAAGGTAAGTGCTCCCCAGAGCCTGCACCCCGAACTCCCTCCTGCATCCCAACTCCCTGCTCCAGTCCTGACCCCCCACTCTCACCCTAACTCTCCCAGAGCCCACCCCCCGCACTCCTTCCCGCATCCCAAACCCCTCATTCCCATCTCCCAGCCTGGAGCCCCTCCTGCACCCCAACTCCTGCCCCAGCCCTGAGTCCACTCCCGCACCTAAACTCCCTCCTAGATCCCGCACCCCACACCCCCTCCCACATCCCAAACCCCTGCCCCAGCCTGGAGTCCCTTCCTGGACCCCAAACCCCTCATTCCCAGCCCAGAGCCCCCTCCTGCACCCCAAACCCCTCATCTCTGGACCCATCCCAGAGCCCATACTCCCAGCCTGATCCTTCACCCCCTCCCACACCCCAACCTCCAGCCCCAGCCCTGAGCCCCCTCCTGCACCAAAACTCCCTCCCAGAGCCTGCACCCCATACCCCTTCCTGCACCCTAACCCCCGTCCCAGCCCGCAGCCCCTTCTGCGCCTCAACCCCCTTGCCCCAACCCGGTGAAAATGAGTGAGTGAGCAAAGGTTGGGGAGAGCGAGGGAGGGGAGATGGAGTGAGCAGGGGCAGGGCCTTGGAGAATGGGTGGGGCAGGGGCCTCAGGGCAGGGCAAGGGTGTTCCGTTTTCTGCAATCAGAGAGTTGACCACCCTAGGTTCAGGCCAGGGTCAATACCAGGGTCTGAGTTGGAAGGCAAAGTCCAAATCAAGCCAAGAATTCAAGAGCAAGAAGTAGCTACAGAAGATCCACACTATTACCTGGACACTTCCTAGAATGCCCATTGAGTTTATATAGTGTGGGGAGCCAATCAGGTGCCATAGGACTGCTGTCTGTCAAACCTTTGAGGTAGAATATCCCAAAGTCTGTGTCCAGAGTGGGTCACAGGAAGTGGAAGCAAATGTACTTGTAACTGCTGAGTGGCAGTCTGGTGCTGTCAAATACCTACTAGCTTGGGTTCTAGACCTGGGTTCTAGACCTGTGTGACTTTACCAGCACATTTATCAACAATATTTCCATGTTAGCTTGCTATTAAATGGCACACCCAGGAATTCATAGTTTTAACTACACCTATTTTCTGTCCTTATAGAGACAGCTTACAACCTTTTTTAATATTCCTTTTTAGTAAATATCATTCCTTTAGTTTTGCGAATTGAACATTTAAAGCCCCGCATTGCTCCATTCCACACTTTTCCTAAGTATTTCATTGATTTGCTTCTCAACTATTTTTGTTTTTACCCATATGGTGCAGAAATCTACAAACAAGGGAATGCTTGTTCCTGAACTCATCCTGTCTGGGAGATTGTTTATCATTATGTTGAATAGGGTAGGGATGATGACACTCCCCTGTGGAGTGCCATTTGTGATTATATATATGCCAGAGAAGCTTTCTCCACTCTAATCTGCATAGTTCTTTTACTTAAGAAATCCTTTATCCACTTACATATTCTTTTGTTTATGCCCCGGGGTGCTATTTTATGCAATAAGCCCTCTCTCCATAATGTATTATATGTTGCTTCCATATCCAGGAAAGCTACCATCTTGTATTCATTATTTCTCAAACATTTTGTGCTTCTGTTTCTAATATTACTATATGATCAACTGTACTCGTTCCCCTCCTGAACCCAATTTGCACATTATCTATAAATCCATTTCTTTGTAAATATGTTGTTAATCTTTTAGACACCATTCTCTCCAGGGCTTTATCCATACATGATGTAAGGGCAATTGGCCTGTATGCATCAAATCTTGTTCGCACTTTACTTGGTTTCCACACTGCAACTACAAACATGTTTCTATTCCACTGGTAGCTTCCCCCCATATATTGTACAGTTTTAGCAGTATTTTCAAATTCACTTCATTTGGATGTTTTAGCATTTCATTGCATATGCTATCCTTGCCTGTACAGAGTTTTTGCTTTTAGCTACAGCTCTTTAAAGTTTCCTCATTTAATATTGGGTCCTCATCTTCCTGACACCTCCTCGAGTGCTCATGCAGCTCTTCAATGAATTTTTTTTCCTCTCACATGGCTTTCTATAATCTGATTTTCACCACAATTAATGTTGTGGAATATTTCTGCCTAGGACTTCCTCTTTTTCTTCATTAGAGCTTTTTATCCCTTAGCCTTCTACAATGAGGCCTGTTATAGAATTGCTCATACTTGGTATTCCATTCATTGTCGTAATCTGTCTATATACCTCTGATGTTTTAGAATAGTTTTTATTGATGTGAACACAGTGGCAAAATGATGACAGACACATGCATAGAATTAAGTGGCAAGCTGCAGCTTTTATTAAACTTTAAAACAGGGGAGGGGCACTACCTGCCCATCACCCATACTCTCCTATAGCAGGCATTTCATTTGTTCAAATGCAGGGGTTACAGGACTCCTTACCATATAATCCATAACTCGGGATAGGCTTTCCCCAGCCTACCCTACCAGAACTCAGCTTTCTGTGAGTCCTAGCACCCTCCCCCTCACACACACACAATGTGGGACAGAGGGTGCAGAAGGGTGAGGACTTTAGACCACGAGGGCCAAAAGATCTGACCATGGCTTGCAAAGGCCACAAGGTCTCACCCTATCCCATGAGCCCAAGGGCCACCACCATAATCCCAGGTCTTTTACCTCTGAGAACATTCATTGTATTCCTTTAACCACACGGGAAACTGGCTGCAAGTTGCAACGAATAAACAGCTCAACCCCAGTATCTCAATTAGATACTGAGCACATCCCTACTTAACTTACTGGAGAGGAAAGTGCTACAAGAAAAGCAAAAAACTCCCTGGTCTTCTGCGAATAGGCCCATGGGAGAAAAAAATGCTTCCTGACCCCCCAAACAGGTGATTTGCTAGACCTGCAGCATCTCTCTGGCTGGATTCTCATTCCTAGATCAGGTTGGGCTACTGGAATGGAATTGAAAGAGGCTCCACATGGCCCCTGCACCTGATTAAATTCTCAGACCTTGGGAATGCTGGCCAATCAGCACCCTTCTCCCTCAACTAGCCAATGGGTCCCAGAGACTCCTGGGAGGAGGAGTTACCTATTGTCTTTTGCAAGTGTCTCCATCTCTTGCTGCTGGGACTGTCTCCCTTTCACCACTGGCCCCATCAAGTTCCCCCAGCTGTTGAGACAGGTGGGTGGCATTTTTCTCACAGAACTCTCTCCAGTTTTCTTTTTCCCCCTTTTTAATAACCTCTGTACACTTGCCCTGTTTCTTTTATATTTCATTAAGTCCACACAATTCATTGTATTTTTCTCTTTCTTATATGCCTTGTTCCTTTCTTTAATTGCTTTTTACACTCCTCATTCCCTCATGGTACATTGTTTCTACCTTTAGGCTGACTTGATATCTTAGGTATAGCTAACTTTGCAGCCATCATGATTCCCTTATGGCTACCAGACTCTGCAGTGTCATCACTTATACATTGTTCATTAATATTTTCACTACTTTGTTTTTAAACAGATCCCAGTTTGCTTTTTTTTAATATTCCAAGTCAGGGGCCTTCCTCCATCCTCAACATTGCCTTTACTGTGATATACTATAAGTACAGAGAAGTGATCACTTCCCATTCCTTCCTCTTTGTTGACTTTCCAGCTGCATTGGGGACACAATTCCCAGGTCTAGATGGGAGAGATTTCCACTGACTGCATTAAACTTAGTGGGTGTACCATCACTCAGTGAATTAATTA